ACTCATTAACCTGATGAGCACAAAATTTTAAATTAGCAGCACAAATTAGCACAAAATGAGCACAAAATTATAGTAAAAGAAAATTTTGAAAATATCGATGTTGACACTCAAGCGTGAAGTTGTAGTGTCATCAGAAAAAGTTGAATTACTCATTAACCTGATGAGCACAAAATTTTAAATTGGCAGCACAAATTAGCACAAAATGAGTACAAAATTATGAGATACTTGGAACTTAATTCCTTTCAAGTCGACACTCCAACTTCACGGACCCCGCTACAAGTACCTCTGAAATGGAATATTAATAAATTTTAATTAAATTCTGCAATTCCTTGCCCATTTAAACAACTGTGTATCTCTTGCGGTTTAAGAGATCCGCCATACTAAACATTAAAAAACCCACCCTGTATGTATTTTTATTTTATACGCATTTATTGTGCAACCATTACCTACTACTATCAATACAGCCTGTAAACTTCCTTGCAACAACTTTATTTTTACATAAATTGGGAAATCTACTTGCATAAATTTTTCATTCATTAATAATCTCTAATGGTTCTTATTCTTAAATAACAAATTAAGGAGGAATTTGAAACCTGTGTGCATTTAGTGTTTCATGAACACACTGTAACTTTACAGTTTAGATTGCGGCATAGTGATTGGGTTACTAATATGAAGCTATAATTACAAATTTCGACTTATTAAATATTGCTTAGAAATACAAATAGGTTTAACCATTTCCCTGCTTTAAGAAATTCGTGAAGTTGCCCCACAAGAACGCATTATGGACTTTAAATAGTAATAAAGTAACTTACAAATTAGTAAGTGCGTACGACTTACTAATTCCTATTTAGAAATACAAACAAATTTAACCATTTCTTTCACACTAATTATTAATTCAATCAAAAATGTTCATATTCCAATGTAGGTGGAGTGCCCCAGAATTGGGAAATTCACTTGCAAATTCAGATGTATACTTTCAAATAACCTATTACTTCGAGTAATTCGTAAACATCAAATTAAAGCTTAATTTGAAATCTACGAGCATGGAGTATATTTATGGATCTAAGTTTGCGCCGCCAGTGTGATTGGGTTACAAAAAATGAGATAATGCTTACAAATTAATACGTACGACTTACTAATTACTACAACAATTTTAACCTTTTCTCTATTTTCTGGGACATTCGTGAAGTTAGCCCCCATAGCGTAATTTGGACTGTAAGTACTAATAATGTGGTTTAGACATTTTGAGATTATGCTTACAAATTGTTACAAATCACTTACAATAATTGTTTAAAACAAAAATATTGTTCTTCAAAGTGGTGCGGCTCCCGAGAAATGAACCGCACAATATGTTTTTGAAATTTAGGGGATACCGTTTGATTACAAATTTTAGCAATTTGATTACAAATTCTTACAAATAACTTACTAATAATTAATTACGGTACTAAAATTTTTATATTGGAAGATAGTCTGACTGCCGAGAATTTAACCGCAAAATTGTTTTTTTTTAATATATAAATTCAAAAATTAATTTATGTTTTCTCGCTTTCTCATCTTTTTGCATCTTGTACAAAGTATTGCCACTCAGCGCTAGATAAATTTAACTGAATTTCGATCCAAAATGTTACGTAACGAGATAAAAACCGTTATCGCGACTACGTTAATTTGTTTTTAAACTAATCGAATAGTGATTTGATTACAAAGATTACCAGACAAACAATGGCGAGACCTTTAAAACCTTTAAAAAGTTTATTTTATAAGATAAATTTGCCTAAACGATTTTCCATCCTAGTTAATAGTTTCTAGTTAGTATATGACTCGACTCTAGGTAACTGACATTTGTTTAAGTATTTCTCTAAACTTTCTATTTAGATGGGTTGTATCTAGATAATTGTGTACCTCCGTCTCTTTAGATTATAGGTGGGCTTTAGGTGGGAGTATGTTCGAGTCAAGATACAGTAGTAAAGTAAAGTCGAAAGACATTTAACAGTGGAAAATAAAGATCAAGGAATTGGAAATACACTCTTGGGGCCATTGAAATAGCAAAAAGTAGAAAAAGTTTAAAGAAACACCAAGAAACCGTACCTACGCGTTTCAACAACAGAACTGTCATAATCTTCGCAAACAACTAAAAAAGGTAAAAACGAAATCCAGGTCCCAAGATCTTAATGACGGGCAGAATGGGGTTGCAGACAAGAAGAATAGGAACAAAAAAATGGTGGACCAGACGATTTATGCCCACCATCGAACTTACACAACCAAAAATACATTGTTTGGCTATACGCGAGAAAACTAATTGTGGAATTTTTTTTCAAGTCATTGTTACGCATGGCTCGTTTCGTAATTTAATTACCCTCACACGGAAGGTTAACTGTGATTATTGCATCAAATTAAAACTACACAGGGAAGTAATTATCAGAATGGACCTTCGTTTTAGCATGTGCGCGACAATTAGAATATCATATTTGACTTATATATCATTTTAATCCATTCTTAAGTTACAAGGATCGTTCTTTAGTGTTGTTAAAGCCTGTATGACACGAGAGGTTTGTATAAAATTTAGTTTCGTGTCACACTGGTGTAAGATGTAACGTAACTGAAATAGGTGCACTAGCAGGATCAAAGAATCAAAGTTATTTTAACATTAATTTATCTACCTACCTTCATTCTCGTTAAATTTTAGCTTAACGTAAATCAATTATATCTTTTACAGTAAGAAACCATTTTACTAGAGCATTGAATTGAATTTTCTTTATTGTACACGAGTCATAGACGTTAATATTTCTTCTCACTTACCTACTGTTTGCACACTCAATTAAGTTGACTGTAAAAAGGTTTGCAGGTTATCGCGGAGTATAGTTTTTGAATTACAGCGAAGTCACCAAGACACAATCAGGTACGGCACTGACTCCTCATTCATTGTCGTGGCAAACATTTACAAAATTTTCTGCGCGAGTGACCACAATTATGCATTATTTTGACTCAATTTTTCTACCACGATGTCGGGTTTATATGATACCTTTTCATTCAAAACATCTTGGTCTTTTATTTGTTAACGAAAATTAATTTGAGCTTTTTTTGGTCTTGAGAAGATGCTATTTAATTTCAATTACAGTAACCGAAAGGCTTTTATTACTAAATAGCGTACTATAACAAGACTGACGGAGGAATGGATTTCTTAATTAACACCCCCTTTGCACTCAAACAAAAAATCGGCTCAATTAAAGTTTAAACTAAGTCATGCCCATTCGTTCGGGATAGTACGCGATTCCTAGATTTCTAAAGATTATCGAATAAAGCAGATGTTACATCCTGATGATTTCTCTGCCAATTTTTCGACGGGTGCTGCTTCCCAATCAAAGAAATGGTGCTAAAATTATCCATAAAGGACACGGTACTAACGATCCAACTTATTTGCAAGTAAATTACTGGTAATTGTACAAATTTCAATTATCTAGTGTTATATGGAAAGTGGTCCATGGAATCTCCTTGAATTTTAATTATCAAATTAATTACTCTGTCACATTCCTAATTGACTGTCAATTTGTATTTCAATGTTATTGCAATTGGTTAGCCCACCAACAATACACATTTCTCCTTGAGTGAGACCAACGATGTATGTCTATCCTTCCCAGTTTTGCATATTCTCTTCATTTATTGTTAAATACAATAGACCATGTATAATGAATAATGATCAAGGAGTAATTATGTAAAGAAGTTTATCGAATTATTCAATGCATTCCTTCTGTAAATTACCTGGTTCTAAGGTACTTAGTGGACTAGTTAACATTTTTAATTATTCCTTTATTTCCTGTGATTTGCTGTAATCAAATTTACTGATTTATAGATTATTATAGTTATTAGGTAGACATGTGCATGAATGTTCACTTAGGTATGGTAGATCCTAATAAACTGGCACTTCGAACACCTAAAATAAATCTCTTTCTTTTCTTATAGAAGGACGAACAACAAAAAATGCATTTTTTTGATAAAAATGGTAGCTATAACATTTAAAATTCTGTTACAATGATTAAAAGCATAACATATAGGTACCGATTTTTTATTAAATTCTTATTTTTTCTAAAAATAACAATTGTACATTTAGCGTATTACTTATTTATATTTATGCACAGCCCATGAAGAATTTTTCCGAACATCTTTTGTGCGGCAAGATGACTTCACTTTTTTGTCCTGAATTCAGTTGTAAAAATAAAAATTTCTTGATTTCGAGGTTGATCCTCTATTTTCTGAGGCAAGAACATTTTCTTATAGAATGTGGCCTGTAGAATCCATAATTTCAAACAGTTCCAAGATTGGGCTACTGGATCAAAAGTTACAGCCCTTTGAATTTTCTTTCGACATTGGTTTCTGGTCTATAACTTTTGATTGAGGGGTCTAATCGAAAAAGTACGAATTGTTTTGGATTCTACGCACCAAAATTAATAAAAAAAAATGTTTTCCCGAGAAAATTTGGTAGAGTCGATTTTTGGTAAAAAAGGAAGGTTTATACACTGCCTTTTTTTTCCCTGAAAGAAAAATTGTCTCAGATCGACCGGGAAAAAACATTTTCTTATAGAATGTGGCCTGTAGATTCCATAATTTCAAACAGTTCCAAGATTGGGCTATTGGGTCAAAAGTTACAGCCCTTTGAATTTTCTTTCGAAATTGGTTTCTAGTCTATAACTTTTGATTGAGAAGTCTAATCGAAAAAGTACGAATTGTTTTCGATTCTACGCACCAAAATTAATAAGAAAAAGTGTTTTCCCGAGAAATTTTGGTGCAGTCGATTTTTGGTAAAAAAGGAAGGTTACACTGCCTTTTTTTTGCCCGAAAAAAAAGTTGTCTCAGAGTCTTGCTGTCAAAAACACTTCTCTAACTTTAATTTTTTCCGATATTCCAAGATCAGCACTTGACATCGGCCACAGCACGTATCTCAGTCAGAGGTTGTATTAGCTATGATGAATAAGGGCTTTCCAAAATGATCACTTTATAATCAAAGGTTGCGGATATAATTTCGTATATTACAACGTAATATTTCATTTTGCAGTTTAAAATATGTCAAAGAAAGAGTAACTATAATGCAATTACTAATAGTAAAATGAAGAAAAATGTTCACAATCGTTATAACAGGTTTGGTCTTATTAATCAATATATGTCAGTATTGCAATAGTCGGTTTGGCACTGTTGACAGTATCTGTTTGCCTCGCCGTGCTCCTTGAGCCAACCACAAGCACGAACGGAAGAACAAAATCTCCTCGCTACATCTTGGGTTGTTCCCTCCTTTGTGCCTTTAATGACTAAAAAAAGAGGTAGATGATGTTCGTGTGTTAGATAAGCCAATACTTACTTCCATAATAAAATATGCAACCTCCCTTGCACTTGTCAGTTGCGGTAATATTAACAAAGTGACGACAATTGAGAACTCCTTGAGGGTCATTGTCGGATTTAACATTGCAATAATAGCAGTTGTATTTTGTCCAACCTACGATTAATCAAAATTTACATAAATTATGATTAACAACACACGGTTGATAAACTTGTTTACTACCTCTCCTATCTCCACGTATAAACTTTAATTGCGAATTCGAATCTATTAATCCGGCCATAACTTTTCAAATTCACGAGTGATGCAGCCACAAGTAAATTAACTTTCACGAGATGGTTAGTTTCCCTTTATCGTTGTGTATAATACAAAACTTTATTTTATAGTATAATTATATTAAATTGACATTTTAATAGGTTTGAATGTGTATGCTAAGTTGCTCTTTAACCGTAAGTGCCTATAAAGTGAAACAGGTGATTGTGTATTCTAATGACATCTACCATTCATATTTCAAATATGACGGGAAGCACGATATAAAATGACGTCCAGAACATATAACAATGCTGTTTCTATGGAAGCAACTGCGATGGTAGAACCTAAGCTTGCTATTTTTGACGTTTAAATTAAATTCAGATTTGTTAGAAGCGTTACAAAGGTTTATATGACTTCTTCTGTAAAAAAATTACGTATTATATTAATCTTCTTGGGTGTAAATCTGGCAGCAAATGAAAACTTCCAATTTAGAGACCGTTCGTGCATAAAGAGGTAATTATAAACGTGTCGTTACATACCTGAGGCAATACCTACACACAAGAGAGCAGTAGACGCCAACACAAATTTAAAATACATGCTGATAGTAGGTACTCGTATATGAGGCAGCCTGTACTGTACATGTATTTATACCTACGTCGAAAGGTTTCACAAATTAGATAAATTATTCTAAAATAGTTAAGGCGTATGTCTGCTTATCTAATCATTATTACAAAGATTAATACTAATAATTGATTTATCGCCGAATAACATCTTTTTCAAATGCGAAGTAAAAATATTCGTAGTTGGAAGAAGTTGTTGAAAGACTAACGCGGACACGCGATTCCCATCCCGGCGATGACCATCCCGGCACCGACTTCCTGGCGACAATCCATCCCGGTGACCATTTTCTTTCCGACTTCGGTCATCCCGGCGACGGGCAACAGTGCACATCCCGACAATTTGAACTCTGCGATATGTATCAAATTCACTTCAGCGAACTTATCAAGACGTGGTTATGGTTCCTTCTTAGAATGGGGTACGCAACAATGTTAATAAAGTTCAGGATCAGAATATTCTATGGGGAGATCCTGAACTTTATTCAAATTTATATTGTCAAAATTCGTGTGCGGACAATTCGCTCCCGAATAATTCACACCCGGATAATTCTGTAAATCTTTGGTTTATTAAAATTAAATATTTTTAAGAGGATACTAGACCATTGCCTTTACAGAATGTATGTAGTAGTGCACATCTTGGTAAACATCTACTTCATGGAAAAATGTTTCAAATAATAGTTATTTGGTCTTTCACTTTCAACACATCGCGATTCTTAAATATTTCCATTTCTTAAATATAATCACGCTGGTTTTTTTTTGAAGTTGTATGATGAGTTTGATATAGTTAAATCCTGTAATTTAAGAATACCCTCGCTTTCTTAAACGGAATTGGTATATATATCGAGTATCGACATATAGCACTGTGCATATATGTACCTGTACTCTATAGCGTGCAATAAAGGGGATATGACCTTGGCAGTCGAACCCTATATTAAAAAAAAACACATAATTTTTATCTACTGCGCTTTCGTTTTGAGAAAATAAGAATAGGTAACTGAAACGTCTTTTGTGGAGTAATTAAATACCAAATAGTTATACCTAGTTATAGTATATCTACAATATTATGTGTAATATTCGCTACTTTTGAGACGCTCTTAATATTAAAACAGAATCAACAAATAATACCGTACACAAACAAAGTGATAAGTCTAAAGTTAAAAATACTTACATTATAAGATCAAGATGAAAATAGAAAAAGGAAGTAATTTTAACGCTCCCTTACATAAAGATTTCTTAATGAAGACACATAAAAAATTGTTCTTTATTTCTTTAGTTGAAAAGGGTTACAAAGGAAATGAATTAAATTTATTTTAAACAAAACGAGTATTTATAAATGGCAATAGAACAATGCATTTCATAGATGGCACTAAATTTGGATAAGTAATTAAGATAATATTATAATTAAAGGTAAATTTGAAAAGACGCCGATAACACAAATTGCACTTCATAAAGAAACAATAATAGAAATATCGTAATGACATCTTTTCTATTATTTCTGGAAGATGAAGAGGGTTTATTACAAGGTAAAAGTAATTAGGTCCGAAAAATCAGGTTTAAGTACGTATGACCACAACTAATTAGAACTTTAACGCCTGTATAGTATCTTCATTCTTGAACGTTTGACAGAGTGGTATTTTAAAATTTATCTGAGCACGGGTTTTGATTTTGTGTATACTTTTTTTTAATTTTAAAAAATTTTATTTCTGGTGGTAGAGTTGTGGTGGTGTTCAGAAAAGGTAAGTTTCCAGTTTTCTTAGACCCAGTTTTACGTTTCTTTGACCACATATGGCTATACATATGTTGATTATTGGTGACTGAGTAAAATTACACTAACTGCTTATTTTTTTGCGTTATCTTTGCTACAACTATGGTAGTGAATGAACTTAAAAGTTTCTTTTTGATTTTCTTACTGTTATTTAACTTATAGTTTGAAGAGATACATGGAAAAATTCTGGCATTTTTTAAGAGATTGTTAATAATCAAAATCAGTAAGGGTTTTGAAAATCTTGAAACGTTTTAGGAATAGGTCGATATTGATGATTTTTTCTTTTAAATGTTTGTAATTATTAAGTACCTATATACTTCCTTTTTAATTTTTGTATGGCATACCATAGTACTAAAGCAAAACCCTTAGCATTGGTAATTGCGCAACAAGGAAGATAGGACATCATTGGAAAGGCTTTCCTTCTCTGAATTTGGTGAGATGGTATAATTTTTTAGATTTGATATTTTCGAAATATTTTAAAAGTAAGTTGAGGGTGCGCTGTTGTTTATGTCATTGGAAGGATGTCGGGCCGATCACTATGTAATAGAAGCTAATGCGATCGTGCGTCAAAATTATGCAGTTGCAAGTGGTATAAAAAAGAGAAATCTTGTACCTGCAACGTCGAATGCGCTGGAAATGAAACAACTAAACCAAAAAAATTACATATCCGAATTCAGAGATGGGCGACCTTACCAACGATGCATCATTTAAGATTTTAAGGGTTGCACTGTCAGCGATGCGAGACAAAGACATTAGTGAGCAAGTTTTATTTTAGACACTGTTTCCTTCCATGATCAATTTGACGTGCCAAAGCGTTTTTTGAAAATTATTTTAATTTACAGAAATAGCTATGTATCGTTTCTAATGCACCACCGTATATTATTTAGCTTCGGAGAAATAACACCAAAATCTCCCCATAAAAATTGTTATAATAATAAATGGGTAGATTTTGGTGTTATTTCTCCGAAGCTTCTTAAGCACCCCATTGAGAGTCAAGGATCTTCACAATTTCAGTATATTATTTAAATAATAGCCATATAATTTATAGCAAGATCAATTTTTTTCACGATATTTATCAACATTTTTTGCTTTTTTCGTTACTTTACAGTTCTTATCTCTTTAATTTTACGGAAACTCTCAAGAATCTATTTGTTTTACGTTCAAATATGATTATAATTTACTTGAGATTCTTTTAAGACAATACATACGTATTTCGTTATGGGTCCTTTAAATGGACGACATCGAAGGTTAGAGAACTAGGAAACTTAACTTCCAGCTATTAACTTAATAATAATTGTTAAAATTTTATTTAGACTTATATTCCTAATGCAATATTATTTGTACGTGCTAAAAGGTTTCCGAATGAAGAAAACCTTGATTGTTAATTGGTACAATAAAACTGGGTAAATAGGTTTAAGAAATGTCAGGTGACAGTTTTGCTGATAGACCGATACCAGCGTTTAGCAGCATCCGTCTACTTGTGAACATGAGTGCATGGACAATTTACATCACGGATGAGTGTCTTTTTACCTTTTTTTTGTTTTTTTTAAATAAATTTTCATTCATGGTACCTTTAGCAAGTGTTCTCATGTTTAATACGAAGATTACAATAAAATAAGTACTAAATTCCAGATTTTGAGTGATATGGATGCTATTAAAGTGACCTAATATCTCTACTGCTTTGATACGGTCCATTCCATTTAAAAAGGTACATAGGATGTACGTATGAATTCTTGCCTCATAAATTCTATTAAAAAAATTATTCCTCTACAAATTGTATGGCTATTGATTAACCAACATAAATATTTAAGTGCCACATTAAAATGCCAAAATCAAGGAAAATATCATCGAAAATGGACTTGTCCCTGAGGCTAAAAGTTGAAATTTGATTTGTTACAAAAAGTTGATAATGGATATGGGATTTAGGCGGTGCAAACTATACGGGTGCGTAACAATGGAGTTCGGTACAACGAAAAGGGGAAAGAGATACATAATCTATGAAGGATACATGTACCTCTTTACTAAGAACCTTAAACTTCAAAACTGCTCATCATGGCTGTGTCGAGCGAGAAGAGTAAAGAAGGATCCATCGGCTCTTAGTTTAACATGCAATGCCAGGATCTGGGTCAACGATTACAAGGTAAGATTAGCTAAACCGAGCACTGATTTTTGAAGTCCAGATGGTTTCCAGTTTCAAAGCCCTTAATTGGGTATTTTATTAGTTAGGATATCGTCTTTTGACCTTTTGACTTTTTTATACGTAAAGTTTCATCGTTGCTTATACCGTCGTCTAATGTTAGTTGTTCCCTCCCTTGCAAAAAATTTAGTTTATTAATCTCTTCAAATTTCAATTTTACTCTAGAACCAACCACGGATATGGTCGTTGGGCTTTCCAGTTTTACTGCCCTTTTGGGTTTTTAATTGTTTTCCATCTATTGTAAGTTTTATAGCTATAGTCTCTCCTCAATTATCTCTACCATCTTGTAGATCACCTGAAGATGACCGTTGGTCGAAACATGTAGTGTATCACTTCGTTTTATTAAATTATGGGAACGGTTTAGAGAACTTTTATTCAATATTAATAAATTATCCCATTTAGAGTTTGAATACAAAATGGACGTCACGATTCCAAATTATACCTTAATATTGAAACTATCCAAATTTTAAATGTAGGTATACGTCTATTACATGCACAAAGTAATAAAACGTGATATTGGTGAGTAATATTGGAGATTTCAAGCTCTGAGTTAATTTAATGCTTCACAGCCGACTTTCTATGTTAAAAGTCAACCGTACACAAAATACCCTCTCAGGGGAGGGAGATTCTGGTGCGAATTATTCCGGTGCGAATTTGGTCCGAATTGTCCAGGTGCGAATTGCCCTGGTGCGAAATGTCCTCCTATTGTAGGTAAATGGGTAAAACGCAATTTTCTAAAAACGGGTTCTTTGCACCGATGCCAATTTTGTAAACAAGGCGACTTATTAATGAGGTTCCTTATATATTTCGGTTCCTTATATTTCTAAGCAATTAATTACAATGCACAATAACAACCTCTTTTGGTACCTAGTTTGACAACCGCGCTTCTAAAGTACCAACATCAGTAATCCTTAATTGCTCTTAAAAATTAAGAAAAAGGTTGTAGGTGAGTTTCAAATTTTTAACGAGCCGAGCTTCAACAGTCTTTCCAAATTGTGAGTGAAATAAAAAGTAGGTGCTGGAATATTACCTATCAGTTAATCATCTTATACCCTTACTAAAATCTGTGAGATGAATCGAATTCTATCACT